ATATAATATATACTAAATACTATATACTAATTTCTTAGTTTTAACATTTGCTGTGTTTATTGTGGATACAAAYTAAATTTATGAGATTTTTAAATTGTGTTTTTATTCACATTTTTAACTTTTTCAGAGCTGGATGGTCTGCTCACATTATGTGCTGTAAAGATGACAGCTTCAGGGAATTGGGTGTGTTTACTGATTAAAGAATATAAAAAAAACTTGTGGGACAGGTGGGGCTCAGTGTGGCCTTGGCTGATACTGTTTCAGAGGCAGCTGTTCTCCGCGGTTTGGCGCCTCCTGCTGGTCAGACCAGACCAAAGTTCTTCTCTTATCTCCCTAATTTGAGGTTTATCAAATGAGCTCAGCACAAAGCTGGTGTGGAGTGACTCACGAGATAAACGTTGATTCATCTGAATTTAACCAATGATTTGGAAATGAGAATTTACGCACGAGCTTTGACGCCAAACTATTAGTTTTTTTCTTTAAATCAGACTCTTATTTTGCTGAAGTGGTGAGATGAGACACAGCAGCACTCAAACGTTTTGGGCTGTAATAAAATGTGCTGGTTTTAAGGCTCTTTGGTTAACCAGGACTGCCTGGAAGCGCTCCGGTCTGGATGGACTTGTCTTTGCGCGTCACGGGGGCGGAGTCGGGAGCGCGCACGGAGAGCGTCCAGGACGCACAACCCAGCTTTTTTTTTTTTTTTCTTAATATTGGCTGCTCCGTTCTTCCACAGGAGTTTATGTCTTCAAGTCTCTGCGTTGAGGAGACAGAAGAGAGAACGACGCAATCTAACCGAGTGTTTAAACTATGATGTGCTCACTTTGCGCACTGAGATAATCCGGGAAATGCTTCTCTTCGCATGAGCAAGTATATTTTTTATTATTTAAACCTTTTATGCAAAGTTAAAAGTGATATTTTCTACGGGTTGGGTCATGTTCTAGTTGGGTATGTTTAAATATACTGATTGTTTTGTCCTCTTCTGTTCAGGATCACATCAGGATCTGAACCTGCCACAATAATGTCTCACGCACAGGTTGAGAGACCAGGACTGGCTTTCCCGGGCCTCTCCGTGGACATGACGGACGACTGCCTGTCCCGGGTCCCCACCGTGCTCAGGACGCACGGCTTGGGCGCGCGGAGGAACTCGTACGGGCTGCAGAAGATCACCATGGACATCGACTCTCCTCTGTACAGCAGCGCCCTGTCCAAAGCCCTGTCCTGGTCCGCCGAGAACATCCTGACGCTGGCCGAGTCCAGAGCGGAGGAGGAGGAGGAGAAAACCGACGAGACTCCGCCGCCCTCCTCCCCGCCGGCGGCTTCCAGCTCCGGCGGCGGCGGCGGAGGAAGCGCGCCCMCGGGCAGCCGTGAGCCCGCCCCGGGGGGGTCCAGGTCCAGCGCTCACGACGCCAGCTCGGACTCCGACAACGACCTTCACCTCAAACAGACCAAGATCTTGTCCCGCATCACCTTTGACACTCAGTGGGAGCAGGAGGAGAAGGAGGACGTGGAGACCAAAGCTGTGGCGACCTCTCCGGATGGAAGGTACCTCAAGTTCAACATAGAGATCGGCAGGGGGTCCTTCAAGACGGTCTACAAAGGTCTGGACACAGAGACTACCGTGGAYGTGGCATGGTGTGAACTCCAGGTGGGTGCTCTGATCTGCAGGTTTTATTCTCCTCAAGCTCCACATGTTCTGATTGGATCTTTCTGCAGACTTTGTGCCACTTCAGCTGATTATCTAAACTTTCAGCTCATCCTGGAGATGAGAGCTTTACTCTTCAAAACTTTTAAACTTTTCAAATGTTGTCTTCATCYTACTTTCTCTTTATGTTGTTTTCTTCTGCTACATTCCACTTTCATCTGTCCTTTTGTTGCTTACAGCTCATAGCCAGCCTTTCACTACATTTTGCTTTTTAAAATCTTTTATCTAGTCTTTGGTTATATAGCTTTTAAATGCTCTTTTTTTAGCTTCAAGATACTTTTTTGCTATTTTATAGACTCTTTATTGTGTTGGTGATGCTAAAGTAGACTAAAGTAAATAAAAAGTAAACTTTTTACTTTTATGTCCACCTTGCTTTTGATGCTGATAAAAAATTTCTATTTAGCTTCTTTCTTTTTTACCATTTCGTTAGGCTTTTGCTGCTTTTAGGTATCAATTTGCTACTATTAACAAGTTTGTTGTTTAGCCCCTGTTTTATTTTTATTTTTATTATTTTTTTGGCTAGCAGTTTGGCACATTTAGCTTTTAGACATCCTTTTGCTTAGGGGTGGAGCCAGAGGGTGCCACCCCTAGCACCTGATTGGTCCCCAGGTGCCACCCCCAATAACTGACAGGTGGGGATCTTAGATTTTTGCATTTAGATTTTGTTAAAYGTTGTTTTCTGGTACTACTGTACTATGCAGTTTTTCCAACCAAGAATAGCTTAATCCTMAATCCCTTTGTAAAATTAGCAATAGCATTAATGGTAATCTTAATTTGGGATTAGCATCAGCAATCAGCGTGTGATCCTTCTTAGATACATCACTACAGACTTAATCTCAATAAGCCTTAAAATGGCTGAATTATAATCTTTTAAAGTTAGCTGTGATGACCATGAGTTTTATAACTTAATAAAGATTGTTTTTGGCTACTTTTGGACTAAAAATGGCTGAATAATAAGTTGTGACAAGCATTCAGCGTGTTTTTATTTTTATTTTATTTTATTTTATTTTTCATTGTTAGCTATGGCCACACAAATTTCAGCTCAATAATTCTCAAAACAGTTGAATTAATTATTTGTGGCGACCATCTTAAATTTTCAAATCRAGAGCGCTTTTCTTTTCTTGTGTGTGCCCCGTGAAAAAAAGCCACCCCTCACAGAACAGTCTAGCTCCGCCCCTGCTTTTGCTACCTATGGCTTGTTGATACTTTTTACCTAACCTTACATCAGACTATTAGCTTTATCTTTTATCTTTTTCTACATTTAGCTTTAAGCTATATTGTTGATATGTTTATCTAGACTTTTTTTGTTTTTAGCTTTTAAATAGTCTTTTGTTACATTTACTATTTAGCTAGTTTTGATACATATGTACATGTAACTTTTTACTATTTTCACATCTTCATTTACTTAGCCTTTTTGCTACTCTTAGGTTTTGCTTAGTGATTTATCACTTTAGGCTAGCCGTTTGGCATTTTTAGCCTTTAGCCAGCTGCACTGTAGCTTTAAGCTACATTTATCTAGACTTTTTTGCTGTTTTTAATAGTTTTTTGTTACTTTTACTGTTTAGCTAAGTTTTGCTACATTTAGCATCCTGCTAGCTTTTTGATGCATTCAGAAAGCATTTAGCMATTTTTAGCTTTTTCTATTTTTATCATTTAGCTAGCCTTTTGCTGCTTTTAGGTAGTGTTTGGTCCTTTAAACTAACACCTCAGTTTAATTTTTTTGAAGCAGATTTCAGCAGTCATTTAAGACTCAGCYTTTGCCTAGTTTGAACTAAATTACTTCAGATTTTTAGCAGTGTTTTGCGTTTTMAACTGGATATCCTGTTCTACATCCTACATCCAGGTCAAGTACACAGCCTAAGACTTTCCCRCACTCGGCACTAATTCCTGCCTCGGTGCATCAGTGTTGATGTAAAGCAGCTAATCTAATGGGTTATTCTTCGCTGACCTTGTGTTTGATGTCACGGCCTCGCACGGTAACCCGAGTCATCCTGTTAGCAGTCAGCTCAGCCAAACTATACACCACAACCCACTCTTTAATCTTTTTTTAAATTAAAAACCAGTGAAATGAAAGCTTTCTGCATGAAACAACCGAGGCGGGAGATCATTCATATGCAGCTCTGATAATCTGTCACTGGTATATAAATGCGACAGATGAGCCGTTTGTCGTGTTTCCAGCTCATTAGCTCATGTTTGGRTAATTACACGATATTTATGCACACGTTTAACAGCTAAAAGTGAACTGAGAYGGGAAAAACTGAGGCGATCGGCTGCTGTAGAAGTGTGGAGGTGTCGCAGGGTTTGGCACGCAGACACCTGACAGCCTGGGTAACAGCTGCCTCTGCCCCTGCTGACACGGTTTGATAGCACAGRGGTGGACTTAAAGGTTTAAGCTCCACCCTTAGCGAGCCTTCGAGGCATGAACGCTGGATTTTTTTGTGCGCTGTCACCTTTTGTTTCTGCTGTGATTAGTGCATAATGTAAGGTATTTTKGTCTATGCTTTTTAACTGTGAGGTGGAGGTGAGCTGAAGGCCTCTTCCTCAATAAAACCCACGTGCCAGATCGCATAACAGGTGTATTTTTAGAGCATCAAGCATTTTTACCTGCTCTCTTGCTACACAATTCACTCCCTGTCGGCCACAATTGGGACTTTGTAGTGAAATCCCTTTTTTCTTCTTGATATCGTGGTAATTTTAGCGACAGGCGTGCTCTTTTCATCTCTTTGCTTGAGACTCAAGTCCAGTTAAGCTCCTTAATCGCCTCTAATTAGCTTAAAGGTGGCTGTTGTTGATATGGTTACTGCAGTGGTAAGTTAACCTCAAAGAGACAATCTCAGTTGCAGAGGCTTTTTTTTTTTAATGAAATTATCGCCCGGTTCGTTGCCCCCCTCCCCCCTCCCTCGAGAAAAGCTTCCTGTTGGTGGCTAAACACGATCCTTTCCGTAATGTTGATGCAGCAGCAGCTGAAGGTGCGTCATCACAACGTTGGTGAAGACGCCGCGAGCCTTTTAAATATGTACAACCGAGACTGAGGTCTGATCTGGAGGAAGTTAAGATGCAATCTGAGGAGGTTTAATCAGCATCTGCTTTACTTGACTACTGTTTATCCAGATAAAAAATTGAATTAATAATTACTTTTCCCCTTTTATTGGACATCCCAGAGGTACTGTATTCCTCGGTGTAGTTTGTTGTCAACACAAGTCTGAGTGAATGCAGGCCCATCTGGGTGGTGTCCACATGAACTTTTTGTACTGTGGCACTTATAAGTAAACAAAACAATTAGATTCTCCCATGACARGCAGCGCTAAAGACGGATACCGAGCAGTTTCCTGTCACCACTCATAAAGAATTGGTTCGAATCAAAACTGTACTCCTATTATAGAAAAAGAACAACTCAGTGTTGTCAAAACTCCCATAAGTGTCATTTAAAAACATTTAGCATCCATAAAGTAAACAAAACCTGTTGAATGGTGAGGAAAAGCTGCTTTACAATTATCTCCGTCAGAAGTAAATTTAGTAAATGATAATAAATAGATTTAARCTGAGTTACATGTTGACATCATCTGCTTTACACAGTTTTAGTTTGTCATGCAGATTCTGGTACTTGTCGGAGAATTAAATAATAATAACAGTCAAATACATTTTTACAGGTTTGTTTAAAACTTTCAAATGTGTCAGTTGATACAAGACAAAACGGAAAAATGTAGAACTTTTTCTGGTTCATACAGTATATAAAAATATCTTCAGATAAATTTAACATCATGGCCCTTCTGTAATCAAACTAAAAAAAAGACCACTAAAAACTAAAATCTGGTTGATATAAGAATTTAAAGTGAAAAACTAAAGAGACCAGGATTTTAATTAAAAGCTAAATGAGGTAGAACACTGGATTAAAGCTAAAGGGAGTGAAACACAAGCCAAAAGCTAAAGAGAGCAGAACACTAGCTAAAAGCTAAATGAAGCAGAACACTAGCTAAAAGCTAAATGAAGCAGAATGCTAGCTAAAAGCTAAATGAAGCAGAACACTAGCTAAAAGTTAAATGAAGCAGAACGCTAGCTAAAAGCTAAATGAAGCAGAATGCTAGCTAAAAGTTAAATGAAGTAGAACGCTAGCTAAAAGTTAAATGAAGCAGAACGCTAGCTAAAAGCTAAAGGATGCAGAACGCTAGCTAAAAGCTAAATGAAGTAGAATGCTAGCTAATAGCTAAATGAAGCAGAACACTAGCTAAAAGCTAAATGAAGCAGAACACTAGCTAAAAGCTAAATGAAGCAGAACGCTAGCTAAAAGCTAAA